CTTACTTTGAAGTGAAACGATGATTCCGGCGGAAAAACGGCGAAACTTCCGGCGAACACCATGGCTTGCTCTGGCGACCTCAACTTCTCCGGACAGCACCATCGCACTCCTCACTTTCTCAAGAACAGAATAGAAAGAATAATGGAGAGAATTGATGAAGAATTGAGGGAGAGGATACATGCTTATATAGTGTAAAGAGAAAGTAGAAAACAATGAGGTTTCCTGTTTCTCTTCGTCATTTACACGATCGTGGGAGGGCGGCTCTGTTATTCTCACGACTCTTCCCTGATTGGGACTAATTTAGTCCCAATTGGGGTACACTTTTTGGTCCAACTTTCTCCAAATTGAAATCCGTTTGCACCGTTGCGATCAGACAATCGAGCTCTATCCAACGATATACTTTTCATAATTATTTGTAATACTTTTTCCGACATCATATTTTTGGGTGTTTGACTTTAACAGAGTCAAAATTGGTTTAATTGACCTTTCTCATAAAAGGTTCTCTCAATTAATTCATATCAATTATTCTCATGATTTATTTCAATAAATCATTACAAAGTTCACATCATAATTAATTAATTAATTTATCCTTGATTTGGGTCTGTACTCAGGTTCCCAATCAAGACCGCACAAATAGTCCACATATTGGATTTATCTCGATTAGACTTATCCAGATTTTGATATTGGATATTTAAAAAATATTTCATATCGGCCCAAAGCCCAATAATAATCAAAACAAATTTGTTTAATCGAATAATTATTTAATAATAATTCTAGGGTATGTTTCGGGGCATTACATTTCTCCCCCCCTTAAAGGAATTTCGTCCTCGAAATTCTTCTAATGGTCAACGTTTAACATTTCGTAGTGATCTCACCTTTATCATGACCGTGTCATGTCCATTTGGTTAAACCATAATTACCTCATTGTCTAACGGATACGTATTCTCAAACTGTCGATGTTATCAAACTCGTTCTTTCTCCATGAGATTAATAGGCAAGACATCCAACAATCCATTTCGTAGGTTCCCGCTCAGATTCAACAACCATAACTTAAGTTCCTTTGCAAGGTATAACATTGTATTTGGGATCATACTAGACATATTTGTACATTATTTTGTTTATTCACAAATCTCGATTGTATGTCATTAGTCAACAACATTCTTTCTTTGATTGAAAGTCCCTTAGCAGCATTTGTAGTTTTGAATCACAATAGATGTAGTAGGAGATTCCGAGGTTGTTTCAATCCATACGTTTTAGCAAAATCATCCAAGTCATTCAAGACATCTTCACATTATTCATACAGTTCAGAATGATTTGTAAGTAACATCAAATGGCTTTTCGTGGTCTAAGATTTTCAGGGTATGGGATTTATCATGCATTATGAGGAGGTACTACTCGTTGTACAGTAGCTTGTCATTTATCGACCTTATACCAAAACATTCCTTCGTTTACTTCATGGTAGATCTCATTATCGTTAATGAGTCTTTGCATTAATTCGTATCCACAGGTGATAACGTTAGAGTGGGTTTCATATACGTCTTGTCGT